GGACAGAAGCCCGGTTAAGGCTGAGCGCCTGGCCCTACCCGGCTGAGATCGGGGGGAAGCAGCGGCCCGACTTACCTGGCTGAGCTCAGACGCCTGTGTGAGGATGCTCGCCTTTAGCCGCTCGGCTCTCTTCACGTGGAAAGAACTACGCTGGCTCTGGATGACAAATACAATCCTTTTCAATTCTAGAAAGAAACAAAGCCGTTTTATAGCATTTCTGAACCACCAGAGCCCAAGCCCACTCCTCCTGTCACTCTGACTCACAGGGGCCCCGCAGGGCACAGAGAACCACCCCGTGGGGTTCCCAGGAGCCATCTCCACAGGAACCCCATCCCCACCCCACCCCCCGGAGCAGCGGGTTCCAACCGTGGAGCCTGGTGAGCAGCTGTAACCCGAGTCACCAGCGGCACTCTCTTCCACAGCGAGTACTAAAAACCAAGTGGAAAACAAGGAAGGAAACAACAGCTCCAAGGTGAGACATCAGGCAGCAAACTGTTCAGAAGAAAAGCTGATGCAGATTTAATGCAATGGATAAAATCGTATTAAACTGATCTCCGGAAGGTCCTCCTTATTAGCAAGCACCATCCTGGACACGCCAGCAGGAAGCAGCTGAGCCTGTGGTCAGCAGCGGGAGGAAGGGGCTGCTGTGAGGAGGGAGGGCTGAGGCACGAGGCTCCCTGCTGTGGGGGTGCTGACAGGCCCACCTCCCCTCCCAGCTGCCCTGTGACAGAGGTATCTGCCCACAGGATGTCCGAGGCCGTCCCCTTCACAGGCTCGTGTCACCAGGTCTCTGGTTCTGGGTGGGTTCAAACTACCAACCTTTTGGTTAACAGTGAGCTTTTAACCACGTGCTCCTGCCTACTACAATGTCTGCATAGTCTTTCAAAGCCTCAAAACCAAACCCACTGCTTCAAGTTGATTCTGCCTCGTGGAGCCCCCACAGAAGAGGGTTGTTACTGCTATTGTTGAGTACTGTCTGGTCTGAGCTGACCCTCCAGGGTGTCTTCAGAAGCTGTTCCTCAGACAGCAGGAGATGGCACATCTCTCTCCCGCAGAGCAGCTCACGGATTTGAACCCTAGACCTTTGGACTGGTGGCACCACGGTGGCCAAGCTGTTCTTGACGTTAGGTCATACAGAAGCAGGGTGGGTGCTTACATAATCCCTTCTGTTGTGGTGGGATGCCTTCACGTAGACTCCTGGAGATGGGGGAAACAAGGCTGCTCCTTGGAGGCAAGGATTTTGAAGCTCAATCTGACAATACTTTTGACATGTTGCAAGAAGAGACCAGTCCTTGGAGAAGGACATCATGCTTGGAAGGGTGGAGAGACAGCGCAAGAGAAGAAGAGCCTGGATGAGATGGACTGACTTGGTGACCGGGGTCATGGGAGTAGGTGTGTCAGAGACAATGAGGTTGGCTCAGGACAGAACAGGGTTCAGAGTTGTTGTACACAGGGTCGCTATGAGTCACAAACAATTCAACAGCATATGATACACATGGGTTTGTGTGTGTGTGTGTGTGTGTGTGTGTGTGTAGTCAGGGACCTCTCGAAATTACTGAGAAGCAACGCTATCAGTTTGAAAGCGAAGGTACACTTGATTCAGGCCATGGCCTTTTCATTTCTGTTATGCATGTGAAAGCTGGACAATGAATGAGGAGGGGAATGAATGAGGAGAAATTGATGCCCTCGAGCTGCGGTGTCGGAGAAGAGCTCGGACTATTCCAGGGACTGCCAAAGGAGCATACAGGTATGTCTCGGAGAAAGTGCAGCCAGAACGCTCCCGGAAGGCATCTCACATACTGTGCGCATACTACTAGGAGAGATTATTCATTGGAAAGGGACATCGTGCTCGGAAAGGGACATCGTGCTCGGAAAGGTCGAGGTTCAGTGAAAGGAAGGAAGCTCCTCAGTGAAATGGACTGACACGGTGACTGCTGCAATAGGCTCGAGTTGTCAGAGATGGTGAGGTGGGCACAGGATAAAACAGAGTTCAGCTCTGTTGTTCATAAGGTTGCTGAGTCGTATTCGATGGCACCTAACAACACACAATGTATAGGCAGCTGTGGGAAAGGAGCTATGCTGAAGGCACAAGGTTCAAATCCAGCAGCTGCTCCACAGCAGAAGGATGAGCAGTCTCCTCCATGAGATTTACAGGCCGTGAAAACCCACAGGAGGGTCAGTTCTGCCTCAACAGTACAACAGCAATGTGTACGCATGTGCCAGATGACGCTCTAGTGGCCTAGCAGGTAAGGAGTTGAGCTGTCTACCCAAAGGCAGGCAGTTCAAATCCACCAGTTGCCCCATGGAAAATGATGGGCAATCTCCCTCCAGGTAATTTACATCCTCTGAAAACTCACTGGGCGGTCAACTAGGAGTCACTTTCGACTTGACAACAGTGAACTGAGTGAGTGATATAAACGTGTGTGTGTGTGTGAGAGAGAGAGAGAGAGAGAGTGAGAGTAGAGGGAGAGAAGGGAAGGAAGTAGAGGGGGAAGGAGGTAGAGGGGGAAGGAGGTGAAGGGAGAGGGACAGGGAGCATGTTGGTACAAGAATCAATAGTTAAGTGTTCATTTTTAACCAAAAGGCTGACAGTTTAAACCCACCCAGTGGCTAAAAAGGAAAAAAAACATGATGATTTGCACCTATAAAGATGAAACTGAAAAGAAAGAAAAACAAAACTAAAACAGACCCCAAACCACTGCCAAAGACTGCACGTCTGGCGGAGAGAAGAGAACCACTCTCCAGGTTCCGGGTGAGCTCTGTACACAGGCAGATGGGCACATCTTCCTTCCAAGGGGCAGGTAATGGATTCAAACCACCAACCTTTCAGTTAGTACTCAATCCCTGAGCTGCTACACCACCAGGGCTCCTTCCATCCAAGCTGTCACACAGGGCATTTCTACCTTGTCCATGAGCTGAAGATCACTTAACAACTACTCTAACTGGCACTGTCATCACATCAGGAGACTCGCTCCCAGATGACCCACTACTTGACTTCTAAAGCTGCAAATCACACAGCAGGAAACTGCCCACCTCTCTCCCTCACAGCAGCTGATGGATTCGAACCGCCAGAGTTTCAGGACATGCGGGTTAACAGTGCAGCTCCCTCCAGACTTCACCACCAGAGCTCAGTAACAACACACACAGTGACAGAGGACACAAAACTACACAAAACAGCATGAGAGTAAGTCAGGGCCACGGGCGAGAGGCTCCAGCTGGGCGAGGCGGCACACACCTGGATGATCCTTCAGCTATTCTTTGTGAATGTGGGTAGATCCCCTCCCAAGAATGGCCACCTCCGCCCCAGACAGAGTCAGCATCTGCGTTTCAACAAGCTGTCCAGAGCACACTCAGAGCATCTCACGGGGGTCTGGGAGCCCCCATTTAGGGCATAATCCATCATCACTTTTCACAAAGGGCAGAGCTGTCTGGCAAAGGGGTAACCCCGCTCACCCAGCAGCTAATCCTCCGGCCTCCTCGCCTTCCAGGCAGAGCAGAGCGGCTTCTCAAGAACAAGGTTATTCTCCTCTTCCTCACCAGCGGCTCTCACTCCCTGCTTCCTGCGTCCCCTCCGACTGACTCACCTCCTAGCAGGTCAGGCTTCTGTCTTCGCTCCCTTCTGTCTTTGCTCACTCCCGCTCTTTAAAACCAGTCACTGCCTTTGTTGTTGAGAGCACACAGCAGCTCACCCACCAGTCGCCACAGGTGCCATTATTCAGGGACACTGCTGACATGCTCTGCGCCATGCAGACCTCCCCAGGGCCCTGTTCCGAACTGTTCCTCAGGTCTCCTAAGGTTCCCGTCTAACGCTTGAGTTACCGCTGCCAATCTGATGCCAAACAGTTCTTTAAAGTTCACAAGAGCCAAGGCAGATATTCTTTATCAAATAAGCCACTGGTTTGGCTTAAAGAAGACTCCCGAGGTTATTCGGGGATAAAGACCTTAAGGCCCCTGCCACTGAGTCGGTTCTGACTCCGAGGGACCTTCATCGGGTTTCAGAAGCAGAAAATCTTACCAGGAGGAGACCACTTCCTGATCCACGGGAGAAAGGCCCGGTGGCCGCTCCCGTAAGGTCACCCCGAAGGAAACCCCAAGGGGAAGCTCGACTCTGATGCCCTAGGAGTCACTCTGTCCTGGTCCATCGGCAAGTCAGGACTGACTCATGCTGACCCTCGAGTGGGTCATCAGGGACAGTAAATGGCATGGAAGGAAACTGCCCATCTCTGTCCTGCCCAGCAGCTGTGGATTCGAACCACGTGCCTTTGGGTTGGCAGCGCAATTCCTTCCACGAGGCCACCGGAGAAGGCATCCGTGCTATACAGCACAGGGGCTGTTCTTAGCTGAAGCAGTACAGAAAGCCTGACTAAGTCAGTGTTTGCCTCAAGCAGAGACAGCCGGCAGCGAAGGGGGAAGGGCAGAGCTGTGAAGCTGGAAGGAGATGGTGGCCGTCCAGTTCCGGCTCTCACAGATCTCAGCGCACTTCCGATACAGTGACATGCAGAGAGGCCCCTCGTGTCCTCCGGAGGCAGCCGGACGGCAGGGCTGAGCACAGGGCAGCTGGACGACTATATCCACTCCATCCAGAGAATCAGGAAGCAAATGCCATTCAAAGGTGAGATTTACAAGAAATTCACCATATTCAAGTTTAAAAAGAGGGGAAAAGGCATTACTTACCTAGGTCATTTTTCTTCGATTGTCCACTCTTCTCCAAATTCTACAAATTAGACAAGAGAGAGAAATCTCACGTAACTAAGGTAGCAGTGCCCCAGGTAAACCTGTACTACAAATAAACGCTGATCTGTACACAGTTCTGGAATTATGCGTTCTGATGGCGTAGTCTACAGAGAGTTCTCAGCTACCGAGAGGCCAGGGACCCTTGGCAGTTCGAATCCGCCAGCAGTCCGCTGAAGAGAGTCAAACAGTCCCCCTCATGACGATTTAGAGCCTTGGACCCGCGACGGTGGACTGCTGACGAGTCAGCAGGAGTGAAGAGATCGTGCACGTTACAACACAAGGGAGCCTCCGGCTGTAACAGCTCAAAGCGCCTGGATCCACCAGCTGCTCCGGGGCAGGTGTATGAAATCACAGGGGGTCAACTTGACAGCAGCAGGCGGGTTTGCTTCACGTTTCCACACTGTACTGAATACTACGGACCTACAACATAAACGCGGGTGTGGTCTCGAGTCAGCACCCGAGCTGCACCTCCAGCACTCTGCAGGCTGTAAATCCCACGGGAGGGGACAGCTCAGCTCTATCAGAACAGTCGGTGGAACATTCTAGAAGACGGCTTTAAAACATGGAAGCTTGGAGACACTTCCCTGATGAAAGGAGTGAGGCTGAACGTTACATGTAAGAGCAGCGTGCTGATGTGTGCCACGCGCAAGGACAGAGCTGTCTCTGTGACCTTGGGTGAGTCACCCTGGTCAGCAGAGACTCCCCCTCCTGTGTTAGGGGGGTTCATGCTCGTGAGAGTGTTATGAGCCATATGGTGTGACGGACATCCAGAGAGACGATGAATCTCATAGTGTCCTGAGAAAGAGAGGCCTGGCAAACCGCTTCCACAAACAAGCCGGTGGAGCCCAATGGGTCACCACACAACACCTGACCCTCCTGCTCTGGAGGGACCAGGCTGTGAAGAAGGACCTTCATGCTTGGTGAAACAGAGGACTGGTGAGGGCAGGAGTGACCCTCCGCGAGATGGACTAGCACAAAACTGCACCACTGTCTACAACATGCCTGCAGGCAGGAGGACGTCCAACACTGAGCACACACAGCCAAGGACTCGGGGAGATGCCCAACACTGAGCACACAGAGACATGAACGGAGAGAAGGGCTTCCCTCTAGAACCACTCCCTCAGGTGGACACCCTAAAAGTGGACCTCTAGCCTCTGAAGCCAGCAGAGCCTGACTTCTGTTGGTTAAAGCCACTCACTCTGGTACCTCTGTTAGAATAGCACGAGATAACGAAGAGATGCTATCCTGTTATTATCCATCTATCAGCCATCCACCCATTACCTATCTGCCATCCATCTGTCCATCCATCCACCCACCCACCCATCTATCCATCAGCCAGCCAGCCATCATCCATCTACTCCCACCTAGCAATCCATCCATTTATCCTCACATCTATCATTCCGTCACCATCTAGCTCTGTAGCTCCTGATCACCCACCCATTCAGTAATCATCTATCCATGTATCCACCCAATTATCTATTACTTACCCACCATCTCTCTATCTCGACTCCCATCCATCCGTCTATCCACCTACCTACCTACTTAGCCACCATGCTCCTTAAGGTAAGGTCTGCCAATGAGTGCATTTCACCATCCATTGGGTGCAGGTCCACTGTTGCCTGCAGGCTGCCATGATGCCCTCCCTGCACTTTCCACAATCCACAAGGTGACCAGGCTTCTGCACAATTCTAGACCCAGAAATCTTAAACCTCGAGGTTCACTGAGGTGGGAACGCAAAGGATTTCTCCAGCCAAGTGCAAAGCATGAGCAGCTAAATGTGTCGCCCTCATTGTCCTTCTTGGCGCCCGTGGAAGGAATGTTCTCTTGAAATTGCCCTTTTCTGCTTTCAGCAGCCACAGGCTGTAATTACGACAATTGGATGGTGGTGAATAGCCATCAATTTTCCTCAAACACTTGCAACAAAAACAGTTGTGACCTTCTACCAACAAAATTGGGAACAACTTCAAAGTCAACATGCAGATGTGTCCCCTCAGAATGCCAAGGATTTCATGGCATTGGCAGGGCAGAGAGTAAGCTAAACACAAACAAGTGTCTAGTTTGGTGGTACTGGTGGTGATTATGGTGGTAGTGATTTCAGTGCTGGTGGTGGTAAATGGGGAGGTGACTGTGGTAATGTGGTGGTGGTTGCAGTGATGGTGATGGTGGTGGTGACTGTGCTGATGGTGGTGGTAAAGATGGTGGTGACTGTGGAGGTGATGATGGTGGTGTTGGTGGTGCTGGTGGTGGTGCTGGTGGTAGTGGTGATGGTGGTGGAGGTGGTGGGGGTGGTGAAAGTGGTGATGGTGTTGGTGGTACAGGTGGTGGTGACAGTAATGGCAGTACTGGTGGTGGTGGTGATGGTTGGTTGTGACAGTGGTGGTGACTATGGGCGTGGGGGATTTGGAAGGGTGGGTCTGGTAATAATGGTGGTGACGGTGGTGGTAACTGCTGAGGTGATGGTGGTAGTGGCTTCTGTGGGGTGATGGGGGTATTGGTGGTGATGGTGGTAGTGACAGTGGGGGTGATGGTGCTGCTGGTGACGGTGGAGGTGATAGTGGTAGTAGTGACTGTGAGGTGGTGACTGTGGGGGTGATGGGTGGTTACTATGGGGTGATGGGGTGATTGTGGGGGTGATGGTGGTGATGCTTGTGGTAGCAGTGATGGTAGGGGGGGTGGTGCTGCTGATGACGGTGGAGGTGATGGTGGTGGTAGTGACTGTGGGGTGGTGATTGTGGGGGTGATGGGGGTGACTGTGGAGGTTCCAGTGGTGGTGGTGTCCTGTTCTCAAGTGTTGTCCTGTTAGTTGTGATTCATAACAAGCCCATGGACAACAGAACAAAAGTGCTGTCTGCTCCTGCACCGCCCTCATGACCGCTGGTGGCCATGTTTGAGGCCAATGCTGCCCAGTGTTGAGGGTCTTCTGTTTTCTCACTGACCTTCAACTTTGCCAAACATGACATTCTTCCTTGGAGACTAGCCCCTGCTGGCAACACGACCACAGTTCACGAGATGAAATCTCGCCATCCTCGAGTCCAAGGAGCAATCTGGCTGGACTTTTTCTGAAACAGATTTGCTCAACCCTCTAGTGGCCCGTGCTCTGCTCAAGTCTCTGCCGCACCACCTCTCAAAGGCACCGATCCTTCCGTGGTCTTCTTACTCATCCTCCAGCTTGTCCACACAGATGGAGAAAATGAACCACCATGGCTTAGGTCGGTACACCTGAGTCCTCAAGTGACACGTTAACGCTTCAAAGAGGCTCTGCAGACACTGCTAGGCCCAATGCAGCCATTTCTTGACTGCCGTTGCCTCACTGGACACTGATTGCAGATCTAAGCAAAATGAAATCAGTGACAGTTTCATCCTTTTCTCCTTTTATCATGGTGTTTACTGGTCCAGCTGTGAGGAATTTTGTTTTATTTTGAAGTGTAATCCAAATTGTAGGCTGTAGTCTTTGTTCTTAATCAGTAAGTGCTTCAAATTGTCCTCATTCTTGGCAAGCAAAGTTGTGACATCTGCATACTGCCAAGTGTTAACGAGCCTCCCTCCAACCCTGATGCTTCGTTCTTCCTCATCTAGTCCAGCTTCTCAGAAAGCCCTCCGCCCCTTCTCAGACTCCTCACTCAGCATACAGACTGAAGAAGTACCCTGAGAGGACACAGCCCCGAGGCACACCGTTTCTGATTTAAAACCACTTATTATCCACTTGTTTTAATCCACACAGTTGAATGTCCGAATAGTGAATTACGTGTAAGTAAACACCTTCCAGTATTCTGTGCTTTCAACCCAACAGGAACAATACTGTACATTCCCCACCTTCTGAATACAGCCTGAATTCCTGGCACCTCTCCTGCCACGTGCTGCTGCAACCAGTTCTCTTCAGTCAGATTTATTTCAATAAAGAATGTTGTTCAGTCCCTTCCGTACTCTGCCGGATCACCCTTCTTTGGAATGGGCACATACGGATTTCCTCCAGTCGTCCGAGCAGGCAGCTGCTGGCGTTGCCCAGATTTCTCGGCACTGACTCGTGAGCATTTCCTGTGCCTGCCCATCCAGGAAGCGTCCTGACTGGTGCTCTGGCAGGTCCTGGGTCATGCGTTCCACCAAGGCTTCCGTGCAGCTCAGGCTCCTTCCTTCAACACCACCTGTTAAAGGACGCAGACTAACTCCCCAAACGAGGGGACATCACCCACTCTTTCTGATGCAGTAGCTGTGTCTTCCATGATGGTATTTTTGAAGTTATCTTCACCTCCAGAACAGAAATGCTACTGAACCAAAGAGAATGCCCTATTGGTGCCCGTTTATCAGACTTCAGGATCAAGGAACACGTCACTCATTCCTGATGAGACAAGTTTTTTAAGAACTGACTAAAGGAAAATACTGAGAAAATTCAACCTACATACTCTGTTTTCTTGACACTGAGATGCAGTCCATACCGAAGGCTGCATTTCCTGATCTTCTGCAACAAGGGCTACAAGCCCTCCTCCCTTTCAGCAAGCACGGTTGTGTCGTCTGCGTAACGCAGGTTATTGATGAGTCTCCCTCCAATCCTGATGCCATACTCCTCCTCATAGAGCCCAGCTTCTCAGATAATGTGCTCAGCATAGAGAGTATGTTTGGAGACAGAATACAACCCTGACACACTCCCTTAAACCATGCAGTGTTCCCCACTCTGTTTGCACAACAGCCTCCTAGTCCGGGTATAGGTTTTGCATGAGCAAAATTAAGTACTCTGATTCCCATTCCTCTCAAAGTCAGCCACAACTTGTTATCATAGACACAGTCAAGTGCCTCTGCAGAGTCAATAAAGCACAAATAGACATTCTTCTAGCATTTTTTAATTTCAACCAGGATCCATCTGACATCAACAATGATATCCTGGTCTCTTTCTAAATCCTGCTTGGAACTTCTGGTACTTCCCTGTCTATGTACTTTTCTAGGCATTTTTGAATGATCTTCACATGTGATAATGATATTGTTCCCTAGTTTCCATATTCTGCTGGGTCGTCTTTCTTGGGAATGGGAATATGAACCTCTTCCAATCCGTTGGCCAGGCAGCTGTCCTCCAAATTTCCAGGCATAGACTGATGAGTGCATCCAAGGCTGCATCTGTTAAACAACACAAGCCAATTGAAATCTCATTTTTTTTACCAATGCCTTCAATGCAGTTTCCACTTCCTCCTTCATTACCACTGGCTCCTGTTCATACGGTACTTCCTGAAATTTTTCAGTGTCATTCAGTTCTTTTGGGGACAGTGATTCTATGTATTCCCTCCATCTTCTTCTGATGCTTCCACGATTATTCAATATACTGCCCAGAGCATCTTTTGATTTTGAAACTCAAAGTTCAAATTTGTTTTTCAGTTCTCTCAGCTTGAGAAATGCAGAATGAGTTCTTCCTTTTTTTATTCTCCAATTCCAGCTCTCTGCATATTTCATTATAATACTTTGCTTTGTCCTCTTGATCTGCCCCTTTCAATGCCAAGAAAACAAAGATTCTTATCACTGGACTGAGAGGCAACATCATGATGGATGGACAAGAGACTGAAAATGTCAACAACTTCATCGTACTCGGAGCCACATTTAACAGTCTTGGTAGCAGCAGTCAGGAAATAAGGAGATGAACTGCACTGGGAAAGTCTGCAGTTAGGGACCTCTCCAAATTACTGAGGAGTAATGATGTTAGTTTGAAGACTAAGATGTGTCTGATTCAGGCCATGGTCTTTCCTATCACTTGCTATGCATCAGAGAGCTGAACAATGAATAAGGATGTCAGAAGAACTGATTCCTTTGAGCTGTGGTACTGAAGAAAAGCACTTAACATCCCGTGGACAGCTAAAAGAACAAACAAACACATCCTGGAGAGGGTGCAGCTGGAGTGCTCTTTGGAGGCAAAGATGACGCAGCTTCACCTCATATACTTTGGACATGTTTCTAGGAGGAGCTATTCCTTGGAGAGGGGCATGACGCTGGGAAGGGTGGAGGGTCGGTGAAGGAGAGGAGGACCCTTAGCCAGGTGACTGACTCGGTGACTGCTGCTAGTGTGTCAGGAAGTGTGTGGATGGCACAGGACAGGACAGGGCTCAGATTTTTTGTTCATAGGGTCGCTATCGGTTGTACTCAACTTGGCGGCACCTAACAACAGTAACCCTCTCTAAATGCACTGAACAAAGTCATGTGCTTACTCTAAACTAATTTTGCTGAAATGATTCACCTCAATGTCCACGTGTCAGAGGGCAACGCTCTTCCCCTGAGAACCATCTCCGACACCGTGGTCAATCTCTGTCCTTGGGGGCCCACAGCACCGGCTGCCAGAGGAGGACTGTGCACAATTAGAACCTTCAGGTGTAAAGGCGGCACCAGCAGGGGCTCAACACTGCACTGCGCATCTAGAGACGAGGTAAGGGGAGTAAATGAGGCGATGTCTGCAAAGACACTGTGTCTGTCCAAGGTCAGACAGTCAGGCTCAAAGCACACACCCAAGGTGAAAATCCAGGTACTGGCTGCCTCCCAGGGTTCCCTCCATCCATCACCAGGACAACTGAGCTTTGCCCACCTTCCTCTGGGATGTTTATAGAGAACAGAGACCATCAGATGTAAACAGATTCTACAAGTCACTTAAAAACAGCACGTCTGTGTCCAGACACACCAGCTGGTCTCTTGTCATCCTGAGAAAAAGGAAAAGAAGGAAGCAAATGACTCAAAGAGGACAGAAGGTCTGCATGAACCATGGCCTCACCCGCTGTGCTGTGGCCAGAATGGACTCACAGCTGACCCTCCAACATGAAGAAGACAGAAGGTGCATAAACCATGGCCTCACTCCATGCTGTGGCCAGAATGGACCCACAGCTGACCCTCCAGCAGGTCTTTGTTGTTGTTGTTGTTGTTGTGTACCGCAGAGTCGGAAGGGACCCATCGCTGACCCTCCAGCAGATTTTCAGAGACATCTGTTACATGGAGGAGATTGCCCATCCTTCAGCAAAGCAGCTGGTAGATTCGGGCTGCACGCTCTGGAATTTACAGGGCAGCTTCTCGCCATTGCACCATCAGAGCTCCCCCGGGCAGGTCTTTAGAGGCTGTAAATCACACGTGAGGAGACTGCCCATCTTTCTCCCACAGAGCAGCCGGCGGGTTGGAACTGCAGGCCTTTGCTTTGGCACCTCAACTCCACACCGCTAGTCCACGCGAGCTCACTGCCCCTGAGTTCAGAACAACTAGAAGGTGCCCAGGCACCGCCATCAGCCATCCCATCCCGCCTGATTGGACAACAGAGTAAGAGAAAATGCAGAACACAACTTCAGACTTCTTTAAGAAGAGAGAGGAATTATTTGATGGGGAGGCCTGAAGGACTCCCCTGAGACTACTGCCCTGGGATTATTCTTTTACACCAAAATTAAGCCCTGAGGTCACCTTAAACCTGATAACAAACTGGCTGAATCTGTAAGGAATAGGGCCAGCTCCCATCCCTAGGGCTGGTTACAAAGGCTCAAATCCTATGTGCCTTAGGGGTAAATCCTGGGGACAGGGCACTGGTCTTGCCTCCTCCTAGCTGGGAGGAGAGCTACCTGCAGGGCAGATGCATAAACAACCCGCACCTATGTCCTCTCAGAACAGCCCCTCAGCTAACTGCAAGAACCCTGCCCTGGGCATATCCTGATTGATACTGATGGTGTCGGCTGCATGCAGCAGCACAGACAATAAAACAAAACATGTGACTCTTTCTTCTTTGGATGAAGGAAGCCTTTTCACCAGGGAAGCTGGAGACAGTGATTTTAACTGTTCTGTCAATTTGCTCTAATTTTCCCCCCTACAGGGAAATTATTCCCGATCATTCTGCTTCCATTTCAGTCCACCTAATCCACGTGCTGGCTTGGGTCCTTTACGTTTACAGTTTACAAGCTGAGCTATTCCAGACGGCTAAGTGTTTCCTCGCTGGAGTGTCGGCCCATCTGAGCGTCAGGACGACAATGGAGCGTTTCTGGGACTTTGCTTTGATTTCACAAAGACGCCACCCTGGAGGAAGCCTGGCTGCCACTCCAGCTTGTTTCAACCATTCAGTCTCCACCAAACACATGGCTGTTTTTATTTTCCAGTTTATTACCAAAAAAAAGTAATTCTGTCGTACACACCTCCTTTGTTGTTGTGGCTGCAGTTTGAGGTGCCATCAAACTGAGAGTGACTGATGCCGACCCTGAACCCTGTCCTCCCCTGTGCCAACCTCACCATCTCACACACTTGAGCCCACTGCTGCATTCACTGTGTCAGTCCACCTGGGAGGGCCTTCCTCTCCCTCGCTGACCTCCACCATACCAACGGGCTCAAGCCTGTCAGAAATGGTGACGATGGCTCTGGACAGGGCAAGAGTCCAACCGTACTCCCATCTGTCGTTGAGAGGGCCCCTAAGAAACGGAACCAACTCAAAGGTAACTGGTCACTGGAAGCTCTGCTGGCTCGAAGGCTGTAACTCCAGCGGTCCAAACTCACCAGCAGCTTCTTGGGAAAACACGGGCGCTCTCCTGCTGTGCCATCTGCAGTCTCGGGGTCTCACTGGAGGTCAGCCACGAGGCAGTTCCAGCTCACCGGCGACGAGCTGACTGCTGTTTGTTGAGTCAGTTCAGATCCACAGCGACCCTCCACCAGGTTTCTGACATCAGTTCTCATGGGAGGAGGCTGCCCATCCTCCTCCTGCGAAGTGGCTGATGGGTTCAAACTGCTAACCTTCAGTTAAGTGCTTGATAGGTTGCGTACCATGCCATGTTCTGTGTGTATATGGTGTTCCTGGATTTTCTTCTCCTCTCTCTGTTCCATTTGTTAATATATGACTGTGTTTTCAGTGGCACATTTCCACAGCAGTTCAGGTTGCCACAGAACGCCGCACAGGCTGTGCGTCACACGGAGGATACATTCTTCACGGTGTGTGAATGCTGTTTCCACTCTGGTTGTTCCACCTCCATTCATCTAGTCTCCCTGCCCCTTGGATTCTCACCTCCTTTCCAAGCTGCCCTTTCACCCAGTTTGGTTCAAACTGCCAGTCTCACGATCGTTATTTATCTGAGCATCCAAGTGTCATGTCACCAGAGCCCCTGGAAAGGCGG